CCAAGAAGGCTATGGAGCACAAGAAGGAAATTGCTAAGCGCCTTGGTCGTCCTCTTATCCACACCAATTCTTATGAGGTAAAAAGACCCACCTTTTCTGCCATCTGGGTTTTTCCATAACTTGCCGCTCGATGGATTTTTATTGTTGGAAGCAAGAAGTTTTGGATGATAATAATATATAGTTGTTTGGGATATGTGGGTTTTGAGTTGGCCGTCGGAAAAGGCTGAAATTTTATGTCTTTGTTGTGGGTTTGAGAGGGTTTTCCGTGTAGTGTCCTTGAAATGCAGGTGTTTTTGCTATTTTCCTTTGGGAACTTCTGGTGCTGTCGATGACCATTAATTTGATTGCATGACTTATCCATTTGAAATTTTGCACTTTTTGAGTTTATCACAGTCTTTTTCGTCGTTAAGTCGCTCAATTACTATTAGATACACAAATGCTAATATAGTAATCATTATCAGGATGTCATAGCTTGTGATGTTATAAACCCAGACCACATTGAAGTAGAATTTGAATCTATTGGAGGACTGGAGTCTATAAAGCAATCCTTATTTGAACTGGTGATCCTTCCACTAAGGAGGCCTGATCTGTTTTCCCATGGGAAGCTCCTTGGTCCACAAAAAGGAGTGTTGTTGTATGGACCACCCGGTACTGGGAAGACTATGCTTGCCAAAGCTATTGCAAAGGAGTCTGGAGCTGTTTTCATCAATGTGAGGATATCAAATCTGATGAGCAAATGGTTTGGTGATGCACAAAAACTCGGTCAGTGTTTGTCATGTTAAAACATACCCTTTTGGTTTACAGGAATTAATACTGCCCCTTCTCAATTAGAGGATGGTTTTTTCGTTCCTTTTGTGCGTCTATCTGATTCAGTACAATATTTTAATTAGTTACTTCTGGTGAATTTTATGAGATTCGTTTACCGAGAAATTGACCTTAATACCCTGGCATTAGAAGCAAAATTGGACAGGCGTCTTTACCAATTGGTTAGAGTTCACCGAGATGATGCTATCAAAATTTTGTTTGGTTTAAAGTTTACGCAAGAAGATGCTTTATAGGGTAGAACCATTTAGATTTTCTTTGGTTTGGGCCATACAATATTCCTGACTTCTCCATTTTCTGTTTTCTTCAAGATTTTGGTAATATCTTTGTTGCCCTTGTACACTAGCGAAATAAACACAAATAAAAAGAGAGCATGCTAGAAGAATTACAGAGTTTCTGCTTAAAAAACCTCCACACTTGTTACAATTGCTTCTCACAACCTACTCGACTAATTAATCAAGGAAACAACTATTTTATCATGTCATTAGGACTTATAATGATCTGTAGATATCCTCCATACTTCTCTGCATGAACTTCTCCTAACCTACTCAACTAATAAATCAAGGAAGCCAACTATTTTGATACTCATGTCATTGGGAATTGAAATGGTATGCATAGAAGAAAACTATGTTCTCATCTAACTAGTTGATTGAGAAGGCTGGCCTTTTATTTTGAAGTCATCCTTTCTTAGACCTTTAGCCATACTTGTTTGTTGCTTTTACCTCAAGAGATCAAATTATGCTTGTGTTGGATTTTGAAGTTTTCTTACTCTTTTATCGACTGTGCTTAGCATGTTGTTTAACTATTCTTCTGCAGTTGCCGCTGTGTTTAGCTTGGCTTATAAGCTCCAGCCTGCTATCATATTTATTGATGAGGTTGATAGTTTCTTGGGTCAGCGCCGAACTACAGATCATGAGGCATTAACAAACATGAAAACTGAGTTCATGGCTTTATGGGATGGCTTTACTACAGATCGTAAGTCTTTATTTTTCTTCTCTCTAAATAGCACTAATTTGTTTTCTTTCCCCAAAAAAATAATGCATTTTCAGTCAGTTATCATGTAAAATAATTTCTGAGTGAGAATCATGATTTTTTTTTTAAATAAAAAAAAAAACCATATATCCCTTGGATAAGGCATTTGGTTTCATAATTTATCTTGTTTCTGTAGAGAATGCTCGAGTTATGGTTCTTGCTGCTACTAATCGTCCATCAGAACTTGATGAAGCAATACTTCGGCGTCTTCCTCAGGCCTTTGAGATCGGGTATCCTGATCGAAGGGAGAGGGCAGAGATACTAAAGGTGATTTTGAAGGGGGAGAGGGTTGAAGACAATGTTGATTATGACCATATAGCTGGCTTGAGTGAGGGTTACACAGGTTCAGATCTACTTGAGCTTTGCAAGAAAGCAGCTTATTTCCCTATCAGAGACCTACTAGATGAAGAAAAGAGTGGAAAAAGATCTTCTGTGAGTATATGTGGCATTGCCATTTTATATCTTGGCATTATAAACTTTAGAAAATAGGCATGTAGATTTGTTTGTACTGAGAGTATTGGTCTGTGCTTCTTTATTCAGGCACCAAGGCCCTTAACACAGTTGGATTTGGAGCATGTTCTTGCAACGTCCAGGCATACAAAGGTTGCTGCAAATGACTACACTGGGTTGAACTCATCACAATCGTCACCAGGTTGGTCGAGGAACAGAGACAGTGGCGATTATCAACCAGTTCCAGCTGCAATTAATGAGCTCTCCAGGCTAGTGGTTTCCCACATCTTGAATATTCAAGCTGATGCCCAGGACCCTTAAAATATCAACGTGGTTTCCCACATCTTGAATATTCAAGCTGATGCCCAGGACCCTTAAAATATCAACCTCCACTCCAGCCACCAGTCCCGATAGGTGACATGTTGAATTCAACACTATCAGAGTTGTGGCTGTAGTTACCTCTTCAATCATCATCTGTTAGGTTTACTATACATATTCTAAGTTGATCACGCAGTTCCGTCGTTTTGAATGCCTAAAATTATATTGTGATTTAGCACATGACACAGTGATTCGATATTAAAGGGCTGTTTTGTATTGTTAATTGGTAGACGTATGTGGAATTTAACCAATTGGCGATTATAAAACCTTTCTGACTCTGTAACGTTGTTCATAGTGGATGGTTTGTTCATGCCTCTGGAATTATACCTTGTTGAAGCCGTTACATTGTTTAGGCCTTTTAGCTTGTATTTCACATGGCAAGAGCAAGTTGCTTGGGCAACCAATGATTAGGACCATCTAGGACAGAGCTGGCATGGAAGAAGTGCAGTCGGTTTCATATTTGGCTTTGGGTGCTGCTGGAGTCAAAGCCACGCCACAAAGTGAGGCTTGTCATTACCTTTTAAAGTTGGAAGCCTTCCCCTCAGTCTCACTATCATCACATCACATGCTTTTACTATAAAATCAGCAGGACCGCATCTTCACTCACTAGAAGAAGAATCCACAAAAGCTGCAATGCTTGTCAAGGTAGGCAGAGATAATTGCAATAAGATTTTAAAAAACACAATATTGCAATTTGCAAGTGAGTGAGTTAACAAAGATTGATGTTGGTACAGCCTGAATTTAAACCTCTCAAGTTGTTCTTCCAAATCTGAAACATGTACTGAAGATGACAATTAAACAAAATTATCTCCCAAAAAAGCACTGAAACTCAGGCCATTGATTGACAGAAAACAAACCAAACCACCATATTGGGTGGGTGGTGGGGAAATTAGGACGGGGTGGAAATATCAGCAGCACTCTGTATATATGTATAGCATAGAACATGAAGTGGGCATGACATAAATTATAGGGTTTTCCTCCAAAAACAAGTCATGTCAGTCACAAACTGTTGATGTAAATTATTGTGGCCACAAATTTCAGCAAAAGTGAGACGTCCCAATCAACAACTTGTTGCATTCTTAAGTCTCAATTTTTCGACCCCAAAAAAAAAAAAAGATGTCTCAATTTTATTATTATTTAAAAAAATATAAGTTTAGTACATTACTCACTGTCCAGAAAAAAACAAAAAAAACATGACGCTAGGAGTGGCTTTGGCACTCGTAGATTCCGGGCCAGTGTTCTCCAAGGATGTCCATTTCTTAATCATTAAATAAATCCTTATCATGGCATTAGTTATTCCCACTGACTCACTCACGTAGAGGCTTCAGTCTTTGACAACTAAATAATTAAGGACATGCATGTTGAATATGAAGATTAATTTATAAGTATACCAAAGCAGGTCGTAGTTGGCGAGCAAAACCACATTTGACTCTCACAGATTTCTGTGTTGTTGACAGAGCCAACACATATATGAGATGAAAGCCTTGAATTGAAAGGTCAGTTTACTAGTTCAAAATCAGCATGCAGGAGCTCTGCAGCAGCTAGGAAGAATACGAGTACGAGTACGACACCTTCCTTTGGCTTTGGATCTCTCTCTTTTCTTTTCCATTTTCATGTATGTGCTAAACAAGTGAGCTCTGCGACATTAAAGTCACAACTATAATGTGCAGAATTCACCAAAGGCTGCACAAGAGCATCTAACTCTGCCTTTCTTCACTCTGACTTTTTTTGGTGGCTTTAGGCAGGCAGGCAGCAGCACTCCCGACATCAAATTTAATAAAATTTCATCAATGGGTATAGGTATAGCTCAGTTGGTTGAGCTCTTTCACTTCCATTCATATGGACAGAGATTCGAAACCTTCAAACAGTTAATAAATATTTGTGTAAATCCCTTCCCCAATCGCTTCTACTTAAAAAAATAATAATTCATCACTACCTGGACCTCTCAAGAACTGGGATATTAATTATCGTTTCCCCTCTCAATATTAATTTGCCCGTTTATATAATATAACAGTACTTGACTCATATTTTGGGGGGGTCGTTTATAATAATAAACCTTAGAGGCAAATAACCATTACGTGATTATTATATCTTAAAAAAAAGCAACAATGAATGAATTCCCAACCAAGCCAGCGCCGTTTGTCAAAATCTAGGGCCAATTTGGTTGGGTTGGTTTGGGTCAATAGAATGGAATTAAAATGGGCACATGTGAATAGTCCTATAATTCATTATTCAATCATCTAAACTCATAATAATAATAATAATAATGAATAAGACTGGGTCCATGGATGAACAATAGTCATTCTGGTCGTCATTTCACAGCCTCCACGGGACAGACACATCATACAACCCATTTCTCTCCTCTTTCTCTCTACGTACGTACTAGACGCATTGACATTGGAGTATTTTGATTGACCCATTAATTTGCCGGCTTGAGCCGTCTCCATAGGCCCCCCCGTTAAATCCACCCCCACCCTCATTCCTCTTCCACTATTATTTTCCATCTCCACAGTCTCCTTCTTTGGTTTCATCAAATTAATCTCAACCCACCCTAAACATCCATTCATTCATCATGGTTGGGTTCGCGGGATTCTTTTATTTCTTGCTCATATTCATTTCTCTGGTTTTGGTTCTTAGATTCTTGTCCAAAACATCTCTGCTTCAAATATTTATCAAATCATGGCAATCCTTGATAGACCGCTTCCACGTCTACCAATTCTACAAAATCCCGCAATTCAACGAGCATTTCCAAGAAAACCAACTCTACCGCAAGATCTCCCTCTACCTCAACTCCCTCCCTTCCATTGAAGACTCCGACTTCACCAACCTCTTCTCCGGCTCCAAGTCCAACGACATCTTCTTCCAGCACGACGCCAATCACTCCGTCGTCCACGACACCTTCTTCAGCGCCAAGGTCTCCTGGACCAACCAGAAATCGTCCCAGCCCGATGGAATCAGGTCCTTCGTCTTGAAAATCAACAAGTCCGACAAACGCAGAGTGTTCCGTCAGTACTTTCAGCACATCCTCACCGTCGCCGACGAGGTCGAGCAGCGAAACAAGGAGATCAAACTCTACATGAACCTCTCCACCGAAAATGAACGCTGGAGATCGGTTCCCTTCACGCACCCGGCCACCTTCGACACCGTCGTGATGGACGCCGAGTTGAAGAACAAGGTCCGGTCCGACCTCGAGAACTTCTTGAAATCCAAGCAGTATTATCACAGACTAGGCCGTGTTTGGAAGCGGAGTTTTTTACTCTACGGCCCCTCCGGTACCGGAAAAACCAGCTTCATTGCCGCCATGGCCAGGTTCTTGAGCTACGACGTGTACGACATCGATATGTCCAAGGTCTACGACGATTCTGATCTGAAAATGCTCTTGCTCCAAACGACGTCCAAGTCGCTGATCGTGGTGGAGGATCTCGACCGTTTCTTGATGGATAAATCGAGGGCTGTGAGCTTGTCGGGGCTGTTGAACTTTATGGACGGGATTGTGTCGAGCTGCGGCGAAGAGCGAGTGTTGGTGTTTACGATGAACGGTAAGGATCAGGTGGACCAGCTTGTTATGAGGCCGGGTCGGGTCGATGTCCATATCCAATTTCCCCTCTGCGATTTTTCAGCTTTTAAGAGCTTGGCCAGTACTTACTTGGGGGTCAAAGAACACAAGCTGTTCCCTCAGGTGGAGGAAATTTTCCAAAGCGGGGGGAGTTTGAGCCCGGCGGAGATCGGAGAGATTATGATTTCGAATCGGAGCTCGCCGAGTCGGGCCTTGAAATCGGTTATTTCGGCCTTGCAGACCAATGCGGAGAGTGTTAAGGGAGTGAACAAAGTTGCGCAGGCATTGACGAATAGTTCGTCGGGTCGGTCCGTGGACGAGTCGGGTGAACCCGGGGCCGTGTTTTGCAGGGAAAGTGTTCACACGGTGAGGGAGTTCAGGAAATTATATGGGCTTTTGAGATTGGGGAGTAGGAGAAAAGAAGAGCCGTTAGATTCAAGTTCCGCGGATAAGGATGGTTCGCTTCACGCCGTGAAAGGGTGAATCTGTAAATTTCAAATTTTTAGTGCCTTACCTTTAGGTTCAATGCCTTGTAAAATAACCTCGTTACGATAAATTTTTATTTATTTCTTCCATATGATATTATTTTTCTCAATTCAAGAAGCCTTAATCAACCATGACTTCTAGCACTTGAAAGTCAGACTGTAAATTTTGATTTGAATTGGCTGAAGCTCGTGTTTTTGACCTCTATTTCGGAAGGTGATCCATATTCTTGGTGCGCTCAACAATTTTGACAAAAATATCAAAGTTATGATTTTGCTTGTCAAAAGCTGAATGTTCCAAAAACTTTGGAAATTTTTATGAACCGTGTAAGATTTTTAAGCAAATTAACAACTAGTCCAAAGGTTAAAAATAGATCAACAAGACACCTGATTTTCTTTTGAAGTCGCTTCCATGCTTACTCTATTGGAATAATCGACATGACAAATTAACCGGCCAAAAAACAAGACCCGCATGAATTGCATTGTTTTCAAATCCTTTGTCTATTGATCAACTTGTTTTAATTCTGTAGAATTGAATTAGGGCCTGTTTGGGAGTGCTTCTGAAAGGGCTAAAAGCGCTTTCTAATAACTAAAAGCGCTTCTGACAGCGTTTGGCAGAAAAATTTAGAAGCGCTTTTGGGTCATAGAAGCGCTTCTTGGAGAAGCACCTGCTATGTGCTTCTTCAGGAAGCACTCCCAAGTGCTTTTCCACGAAGCACTTTAATTTTTTATGAAAACTGAATTGCATTGTTTTCAAATCCTTTGTCTATTGATCAACTTGTTTTAATTCTATAGAATTGAATTAGTCTAAAGCCGATCAACTCAAACTCACAAACTGAAAGTCAACTTGGCACAATTTTGACTAAATGGAGAGGGTGGATTTACTTTTATTTTATTGATTGAGAAGACAATTAATTTGATACAAGCGATATCGAAGAATAAGGGGTTCGAACAAAACACTAAAGTATAGAGGTAAACTCTCTTAATTACTTGAGCTACAAACCTCTTGAGACAATTGTTGTTAAAACGAAAAATGCTTGCCACGAACATATTTGTATTAAATATGGAAATAAATCTTGTAACACAAATACTTATAGAATGCCAAACCCAAATGGCATGATGTGCCAATTGAACATACTCTCAAACTTATCTTTCCTTTTTATTTTATTTTATTTATTTATAGATAAACTAGAATATAATAACTCTAACTCTAAGATTCACGAAGTAATCAGAAACTAAATAATTAATGGATATTATATGTAAGTATATATGTCATATAATATGCATTAATTTACTTCTAAAAGCCTCCTCTTTTTTTTTTTCCCAATAAAAGCCTCCCCTTCAAACGTATAAAATGCCATCCATCAAAATGTTAAGAAAGAAAAAGAAAAGGCCAAAGCTTCGGTCACGTGCTCACACGTGAGACCGAGCTTTCCTTTTTTTTTTTTTTTTTT